TGTGCAAGAATTTTATGAAATCACATATACCACATTCTTAGCCACACCATTTATTATCACACAAGAAGAATTAAAGAAGTGCATAATTATTTTACTATAAGAGCTCAGATCAGCTCTACTTCAAGACCTTCAACCAACATTAAAAATGATTAATATTCAAGACTTTAAAAACAATAATACTAAAGGCAACTGTTATCAGAGATGGGCTCACCAAGCTCACTCACTTCTTCGATGGCAATCCGTTCTTGATTCGTAAATTGATTATAGTAGAAGCTTGTCCCATAACTTAAATACAACAGGTGTAGATGTAGAATTTTTGTTATCATATTTTTTTTTAATACATCTAATATGTATTATACAATGACCATATTATGAGTATGTCTATAGTTTTTAACATCAATTATTTCTACATTTGGTCTTTTATATGAATTATCCAGAACTAGAACCTTTTCAATGTCACATTACTTAAAATTTGTTCGGTTTCAACCTCACAATATTCAAAGTATTTAATGCTCAACTGTTTGTCAATATATCAACTATCATAAGTACAACGAATCGGTACATCAAAATTATCATCTTCCAACTTGAAATGACGATAAAATGCTTGTTTTGTCTCAATGATTCTTCCAATATCAGATTCCTTTTTAATAATCTCCCTACGAAATGCCTCTATAGCTTCATCTATAGTAAAAATTTTCATAGGCTTCCCTTTAGTTGTAAGGTCAACTATGACGATGGTGTAATTGTTATAGATGATTGTGTTATCTCTATATCTACGACGACGATGATAACGTAGGTATCTTTGAAAACACGTAATAATGAAATATAAACACCTTTTATTTTATATTCAAACTTTCTTTTACACTTTATTAATTTGATTATCGACAAATTTGTTGACAGCGAGCGAATACCTAAAAGCGACTTTTTCTTAAGTATATATAAATTTTTGTTTTACTTAATTATTTGAATAAATGACGGAAGGGAGTAGGGTTAGCGGAAAGTATGTTTGGAATGGGAGTAAATTCAGTGAGGTGAATATGCCTGTAAATATCTAGGTAGGTATTCGGGTAAGTATTCAGGGAATTATTTATATTCATTTAATTAAAACTTTATTTGTTATGTTATTCCGTAATTCATTTGATTTAAATATATTTTCTTAAACATATAACTTATAGGATGATGAGGTCATTCTCATCCATGTCTTCAACATGCCGGCGGGCCTGCGGCGACGATACCTCGACAAAGTCCTCTAGCTGGTTCTGTGTTTCACGAGCTTTTTTCACCAACCCGCGAGTCCTTTGTTGCACGGCAGAAACGCAATGAATGTGTGCGGCAGCACAGCTTGCACTTTCCAAAGTTCTGTGGTCTGAAAAGACATCATTCGAAAAGCAATTTTAGTATGAGATGATAGAGAATGGCGGGTGCAGATAGGGGTGGTAACTTCGGACAGTACTGGGCCGGTTCTGATCCCGTTGGGAGGGGTTTTTGGGGCAGTTGGTATGTATATAAAGGAAATATATATATAAGTGGGAATACATATTGAGCGAGCAGTGATCCACTTCTGACCTGTTAAAAGAGGTTTTCGGTCCAGTTGGGTTTCTTTAAAGCGGGATGTTTTATACATGGGGGGATATGTAAATAGCGGAGTTCCGTATGTTATTATATTTAAAGTAGGGAAAGCACAATTTTCATATATGTGTTTTTATATATGAGCGCTGTTATGTGCGGTATATAAAAGTAGAGATTTCTCATTTTCCGACTTTGGGGGATTTTGCTCGAACTTTCCATAAGAGATTATAATTTAATTTATGAGATTAGGTATGTGTATGGCATGAGACTATCATACACAGCACGCGCAAAATCCGCTGAACATATGGTATATTATTGAGTAAGAATTGGTGGGACTTACTTTGGCATCCGGACGAGCACAAAACAATTCTTGAGAAGGGGATGTCGTACTGAGGTTCCTATTATTTTGAAGTCTGTTGTGAGAATGTTACGTGCTAGCATTCCGTTTTTATATAGTTAAATTTTTTTTTTTCATTAAAGTTTTATCTAATTTGTACACCTTTTTTTTATGTAAATATGTTTGTATTTCTCTTTTTCACTTCTATTTTGTATAATTGTGTATGTACATAGATATGAATATAAGTATGTATATGTGTATATAGTTTTTCCGTTTATATTTTTCCTGATTGGTTTCAATTTGTATTTAAATCGACTATTTTTGTATTGTAATTGTGTTTATTTTCTCGTTCACTTTTTCAAACAATTTTTTTATGTAAAAGTTTTTTATTTTATAATTTTCATTTTAACATCTATATGTTTGTATGTGTATTTGCGAATTCACTTTTCCATTTACTTCACTTTGTTCCAACATTATTTATGTTTTATATACGTTCACGCACAAAGAATAAAGTGGTAAGTATAATACAGGTATGTGTAAACTTTATTATGTACTTATGCATACATATGTGAAGCGCTTTAATTTGACTTTTTCTTTTTTTCTCAGGAGTTAGGGATCACTTTTCGTATTGCCGGCACGATAATTCATAGGAGTATTTTTTTAAAGTTTTTTTCAATTTAAACACTTTTAATATTACCGCGAGGGACAAATTCTCGGAAAATCGGAGGGTACGAGTGAATTTTCAACACATTTTTTTTTTGAATAGCCGAGTCTTTTTTTCTTTTTATTTTTAATTTTTTAACCGGGTTCCGGCACCATGAAGAAAGTTTCGAATTGAAAAATAATTACACATTTTATTATATATTCAAACTTTCTTTTACACTTTATTAATTTGATTATCGACAAATTTGTTGACAGCAGCGAATACCTAAAAGCGACTTTTTCTTAAGTATATATACATTTTTGCTTTACATAATTATTGGAATAAATAACGGAAGAGAGTAGGGTTGCCGGTACGTATGTTTGGAATGGGAGTAAGTTCAGTGAGGTGAGTATGCCTGTAAATATCAAGGTAGGCATTTGGAAAAGTATTCAGGCGATTATTCATATTCATTTAATTAAAACTTTATTTGTTATGCTATTCCGTAATTCATCAAATAAAATATATATTCTTAAACATACATGTCCAACAGTGATATTTGGAAAAATATGTATTTATATAGAAAATACTAAGTTTAAGCTTGCAATCATTATGAAAATGATACTCACAACGCACAACATCTGGGTGTAAATTGTATAATCTTTGTTCATTTTCAATGTTAAACAACGGCTTTTGAAGGAATTCCGCTATCTGCAATTTCTTTACTTCTCCCTTCACAAGCCATCAAATAGTCTCTTACAACTTTAAAACTATCACTTCCATAGACCATAATAAATTATGGTGGTGCAATATTAACCTATTAGCTTGCCGTTGATTATCTTTACTGAGTATGGGGATTCTCTATCGTATTATAACGACTTTCGGATCGCTATAATGAGTCAACCATAACTTTAACGATTTCGCTATTTTTTACATACTGTTACGATTTTGCTTAATCAACCTCGATGATTTTCTGAATCCTTCGGGTACGATTTCTGGATTGTTAAATAAAAATCGCCAACTTAATTTGCAGTTTCTTTCGTTATAAAGAATTTATCTAATGTCCTTTATTTACTCAGTAATTCATAATTCAATTACAATGCACTTTACGAGCTACAATCGTTTGCATAAACTTTCACAATTTACTTTACTTAAATGTAATCTCCAACGCGTTTACTCTACGACTCTATACTGATGTTGTCGCCAACGAGTTCACTCCGTGACTAACTTCCTGGCAGCTGAGTGTCGCCCTTATATAGCCGTCGGCTTCTGGTAGACGAAAGTGTAGAATAATCGAGTTGTTTTCTATCGAAGGTTCTCGTTTTATCGTTCTAGAATGTACTAGTTATCGGCTTCTCTCTTTCATCTGACATTCGCCTCGCATTTTCGCAACAATACATTACAACGATTTTCCGGACGCAAAAAGGACTTAGCGATATTTTTAACGATATTCGCTCTTCTCTAATAATAGTATAACGATTTTCATAGATACCATTCCATCAACGTGCAAATGTTGATAGTAAATTTGTTTCCAATTACTATTGTAGTACCAAAGTCCATTATATTTTCAATGCTCAATGTCAATGTCAATGCTAAGTGCCCAGGAGCGCGGCGCGATTCTTTTACTTGCAGCTCCTCTACAGTGCGAAGAGTAATGCAGCGTAGTTTTGAAAGTGGAAACCACAATATGTTTTTGATTGGTAAGCTTTGAAAACTATTAAAACTCATTTATAACTTAAAAAAAAATGGTAACAAATTCTTTAGTCTTATTATTTTCAACATTTGTACTTAAGTTCAGTTAACTCAGCAAAATACAAACAACTCAGTATATAATCACAGATAAGTCTTTTAAACCCATATATTAAATACCGCATATCGTCACATTCAAGTATCTTAAAGAAGAATCTTAAAACTATTATTTATTTAACTGCATTACTTCTTTAATTTGTGTAATGAGGAATTGATCATAGTATATCTAATTTGGAGTAAGATATAAACTCAAGTATAAAAAAGACTTTACAAAAACTTAATTTTTTCGAATAAATACTTAAATGCAGAATATAAATAAAAAAGAACTTTTTGTTCTATGTTTAACTTAACACTAATGTTTCGTATCGGGGCTAATTTAGGGGCCGGAATTCCTCTTGATTTCCGGGAACGGGGATCGGGGGAGGTGCCGGTCCTTCAGTAAGCTGTAAACCTATCTAATTGCCTGTCGTCAAGCTCTCAATTAAACATTGGTAGGATTAGTATAACAAAACATTAGCGTTTATTAAATCAGATATTAAAAAGTTTTATGAAAAAGGTATATATGTATGCAAAACCTACATAACATATATAAATACTCTCACCTGAGATGTTGCTGCTGTGGCTGCTGGTTCAATAGAAGGGCTTCAGGCCGGCAACATTGGCCATTTAAAGGTTTCCACAAAAGGTGGAAATCCTAAACGGGACCAACTGGATTCTTCCCATATATTTGAAGAGTCACTTAGTCGAGAACAGAAGACAGAAGACAGCAGTGACATCTCTAGGTAGAGGCTGTGGCTGCTGCTCAGGGTTACACGCGTAAAAATATACTTTATAATGGAGTAAAAAATAACTTTAACGCCATAATATAAATATTTACATACAACTAATTACGCCGGCAGTTGCACAAGCTTACACTCCTTCACCCTTTGTGGTCATAGCATTTGCCAATGCTTGCGTGGTCGCCGCGTTGCTTTCAGCTAACAACTAATAAAAAATTCTTTAGCATTTAAAAAAATTACCTGCAAGACTCAGATTGCCTGCTTGTAATTTGAGTGGATGCTGCACTCGACTCTGCTAACATCTTTTGGGGAAAAAATCGAAACCACAAGATAATGAAAACATATTCTAGATGTGTTCCAAATCCAGAAATACTTAAGTTTAAGGCATTCACCTGTGTTTGCGCAATTTCTAAAAATGCATTCGCGGAACACTCCCATCTTCCACGCGACTTTTTTTACTGCCTCGACGGGAAGTTTTTGAGGTTTGAGTCGCAAGAGCCGATGCATGCATTTCCAAATCGACTCCATTTAAAAACGAAGGCATCTAAGTTGCAATTCCTAATATTGAGGAGAATTTTAGTCATTTATATTTTCACCAAACTGTTAATTTTTCATTACCTACCCTATAGGCACAGTTTCAGGAACGTTTTCGTGGCCCTGGACATAGCCATTAACTTCAAGGGCAATGCCTCGTCTCTCCGATTCGGTGCGTGGCTCCTCATCAATGAGATTGTTTCCTGTCATTACCCGCTTTCTTTTCCAGTCTCGGGCATTGATGCTTGTACGGCTTTCAGATCCCTTCATACCTATTTGTAAAATATAATTTTAACGTTCTGCCAAATTGCTTAAAAATATTTACATACCGTGCGCCATTGTTCGACGCTTTTCACAGCACCACCAAGGCAATTCAGCGTACTAGCCACTTCGCTCCACTTCCTATCGCAATCTGATTTTCCATGGAGCTTCTGGAACCGAGACCCTGCCAAACCCGGCTGCTCCATCGTAGCTGGGCCTCTTTTTGTCATAGCCATTCTAATAAAATAAAATAGGGAATGTCTAATAATACAAAAACTAATAAACGTTTCATTTTACTTAAATTTCATTTTCAAAAGCCAACAGAAAAATATGTACATACTAATTTGGAATAACGAATTTATATGTTTTTGTCATTTCTCTTTGTGTTTTTCGTACCTTTTGACGCTTCGTTAAGCTGTGGTGCCACCTTTCCTACATTTTAATAAAATGGAAATGTGCGATGTGGATTATCGTAACAACTGAGTTAGAGAATCTCATAATCGTTAGCGCAAGCGACAAAATTCAAAACTTTGCGATCGGACAAATCGTGTCGATAAAAGTTACAGAATTGCAGTGCAGCTCTAATCCGCTGTGGTTACGATTTTTTGATGATTCGCAACCACTATATAAGTTAAGCAAAGTTATAAACTGTTATCGAAGATAACGCAAATAACATTCAGAGAGTATTTCACATAGCTTAATAATCGTATGTACATATAATACCGCTGAGATGTGTATGCAAAGGTTACTTACAACTAGAACAAATGAGCTGTAATTAAATATATATATTCAGCCTTGGTCAAAACTATTAGGCACTACACTGATTACTGAATTTTTTGTTTTATCAAGTGAAGTAATGAATGCAATTCTTTTAGTAATGCTGCATACAAGTTTTGCACATTCATCCGCACTCATAGCGTACCGCTCGTTAATTAAGGCATTCTTTAAGGCAGTTTTTGATGTTACACTGTGTTCGTTAATCTTACGTTTTAAAACAGCCCACGTAGTCGCTGATTTATGACAAGGAGCATTGTCTTGTTGAAATTGAGACCCGTCGAAACTAGAATCACCGAAAATGAGCGGTAACGAAGGCAGAAGAAAAGCTTCTAATACATTTATGTACTTTTGAGTGCCCATGCGACCCTCGCAATCGAACATTTCGCCGACACCATCCGCAGCCATGCAGCCCCATATCATAATGCTGCCTCCTCAATGCTTAACAGTGGGCACCACGCTATCTGGATGATATTCTTTCCGAACCCGTTGCCTCACGAACGTAGAAAAGAAAAATCAATGTTTTCATAAAGATTTGTATTATTTTTCTAAAATTGCTCTAGGTTAAGAAGCTATGGCTGTTAATAACTTAAGACGATCTAAGCTAAGCTTACCCCGAAGTTTGTTTCATCAGACCACAGAACATTCGACCAATCTTCTTTCGTGAAGTGTTGGTATCGGCGAGCCCATTAAATACGATTTTTCTAATTCTTTTCTGAGAGTCACCGCTTCTTTCCGGCTTTACATCCTTTTATACTGCTTCCAGAAGTCTTCTTCTAGCTGCTCGAGCATTAACTGGTTTACTTAATTCATCCGAAAAAGCAGCTGTATGGGCAGAAGAAGAATTTTTGCCATCCTTGAGAGACTCGCGAATAAGTGTTCGGCTTTCTCGTTTACTCATTAGACGCTTTCTTCCACTTTTTGATTTGTTATTGTTTCGCGCACTGCGAACATCCCACCCAATTGGCAATCTCAATTTGAGACTTACCTTCTTAACTTAGGACTTGAATTCTTACTCTATCATCGTAACAAATTTCACTTTCTTTAGGAATTTCGGTAAATATGAACTGTTTTTATAAGATTGGTAACTTTCCACTAAATGTAATTATACTTTCACTTTCAAATTTGAAATGCGAAAAAAATTTATGAATTTCTTAAAAATGACAATGTCTATGTTTACATTGCTACGACTTTTAATATTACATAATTTTTTCGTTTAATCAACAGTTGAACACCCAAATAAGACATTTACAAAAAGAAGTGGTAACTTTGATAGCCACATTTGGGAATACTTTTATTTTAGTGGGGTGGCTAATACTTTTTGTCAAGGCTGTATATAATTGGCGCTTTGTAGCCGCTGAAGCGATTTTTCGGTCGAGCTCCTAATCCAATTTTTGGTTTTTGAGTCTTGTTGTTTTTCCATTAAATTGAGGGATCTACAGTTTATATTAAGCCGTCACCGAACGGCTGCTGGTTTGTTTTACGCGGAGCCTTTATTTCATGTCCGAAATACACTCGGAGGGGTAGACATTCCCTGGTGAGGGGTGACCGCAATTGGAAAACTTAACTTAATTTTTTGTTTACATTAATTTTCCATAACTTTTGGATACATTTAGGCGAACTTATTTTTTTTTTTTATATTAATTTTCCATAATACATTTAGGCGAACAAACAATTGTTTAAAACTTAGATCTTAGATCGCAAGGTATTGAATTAGAAAAAGAACTCGAAGTGGATGCCAGTCTATACACGGCGTGAGCCAATCGCTTGTCATTGACATTGGTGCCGATTTAGCCTATTATAAAAGTAAACAGGGTTATGCGGCAGACCATGTATATATCTATGGAAGAATGTCGGCGAAATCGACACCTTAATTTGGAGAACAGGACTCTGCAGACCCATATTACAGGGTAGGGTTTCACTACATATTCTAACTGCTCTAAGTATTTCAGCAGCCACTGAACGGTCTTTTAGTACGCATGTGCTTATACAAAGTCGCAAACAAAATAGTTTTACTTCAGACAGGGCAGCTTTTATATCGCATAATTGCAGCCAGTTACACAACAAAAAAATTTTAAGTGATCATGGCAGCAGCGGCACTGAATTACTTACTTTTTTATATTGGTTTTTTTTTGCCGAAAATTACTGAAGTTTCAATAAGCGCTCCTTCTGCAATTAAGTAACATTCCGTCGCAATGCGCAGAAAAAATTATAACATTACCAGGCAAGTGCCCTATATACGCTAGGGCAAATTATGTGGACATCTCAATGTACCTATTTTTCGCTGCATTGCATTTGTTCAAAAAAATATATAAAATTTTTTTTTACGTGATAACTACGTTAAGCCCTATTGGTTTTTTTCTCACATAAATACTCGGGTTTTCAAAAATGGGAAAAAACGTGGTATACTCTCAAAATGATTTTTCACACTGTCTATCTCCAGTATTACCTTAAGTATTGTATATAATTTGCGCGACCTACAGTCTTATTGATTATAACAGAAGTGTTAAGGGCTTTTGAACGGTTGATTTATGCATGATGAAAAATTTTAGGATGAACGACAGTGAATAGCGGAAAGCTTGTGACCATTTCTACACCGAGGCATTACTAGTTGTAAGACCTAACGGTGATAACTTAATTTTTTTTTTATTTCCGCTTGCAAACAAGTTAGTACACAATTCTGTCAACGATTAACTGCTCAGTTTAATTCTGACATTTAAACCGACAAATCAGTTTCTGTAACACACAAAATCCGTGCAAATTATGAAACCGATATGCAAAAAATACGAATGTATGATTCTTGAAGCAGAATTTTCTCGGTTTCGATTCTGGTTCTGACAACAATATGATTCTGTTACGCCTCTGAATATATTCAAATGATTCCACCGAAACCCTAGAAACTTCTCCAGTGAAACTACTGTACCGGCATTGAGAGTGATTTGGAAATTCGGCTGCAACGGAAACAGAACTCCGGAACTTGAAATAAAAAAAACATATAAAATACTGTTACGATTTTGCTTAATCAACCTAGATGATTTTCTGAATCCTGCGGGTACGATCTCTGGATTGTTAAATAAAATATCGCCAACTTAATTTGCAGTTTCTTTCGTTATATAGAATTAGTTATATAGAATTTATCTAATGTCCTTTATTTACTCAGTAATTCACAATTCAATTACAATGCATTTTACTAGTTATAATCACTTGTATAAACTTTCACAATCTACTTTACTTAAAAGTGATTTCCAACACGTTTACTTTAGGACTCAAATAGTTTACTCCGCTATACTCTATCTCAACGCCGACGAGCTCACTTTGTAACAAACTTGACTTGGCAGCTGAGTGTCGCCCTTATATAGCAGTCGGCTGCTCGTAGACGAAAGTGTAGAATAATCTAGTTGTTCGATATCGAAGGTTCTCGTTTTATCGCGCTAAAATGTACTAGTTATCTGCTTCTCTGTTTCGTCTGACATTCGCCTCGCATTTTCGTCACACTGCCCTCCACCTAAGTCTGATCGTCCCGATCAGACACATTCGCTGTTCGAAATTCAGCAAGCCTCTCTAGGTGGACCACTTTCATCTTGTTTCTTGCACTCCTAACGGGTTGGATTCGATACACCACGTCGTTTAGTCGTTTGATTATCTTGTATGGACCTTCCCAATTACATTGAAGTTTTGGGGACAAACCCCTCTTCCGTTGCGGATTGTACAGCAACACCAAATCTCCATTTTGGAAAACTTCGGAGTTCATTGCTTCGCATTTTCGCAACAATACGTTTACGCTGGGATAAAACAAACAGTCCATTGAAGTATAGTAATCCAAAAAGTACTCCCTATCGTAAAATATTGGACCAACTTACGTCCAGCTACCATCTTTTTGTTAGCCGATGGTTGTTCGTTTTTTAAAGAAAGCAATTACTAAACGTATACAGAAAATGTGTGAAAATGAAGTTCAGTCTATTTCGTTTTGTTGGTGAGCTCTCTTCAGCTCTCTTTCAGAATATACTTACGAATATTCAAATCCAAATAGAACATATGCGCAAATTTAACTTATTTTATTTATTTGCAAAATAAATATTAATTCATATTAATACCCAACATCGACTTGGACCATTGTCTTTTTGCAGGGAAGATACGCGTGCCGACTTTGCAAAGCTGCAATCACAACAGACTGCCGAACGATTTTTTACTATACTTGCACTCAACTCGGTATACAGGACCTGTGGGACGGCATCGATGAGGACTGACATGTCGCAGTGGAGAGAAAACAGACATCCTACCTAGCAACCTTGCTATCCACCACAACACGTGTGGAATGGGATAGATACCGAAAGATGAAGAGGGAAGCAAAACGCATCCCCAGACCAAAAAAAAGAGGCCGAGATGAGTGAGTATTACTACACAGGTTTTGTTAATATAATCTCTTAAGATTTCATTCATCAGCTGTTGGGAATGTGGCTTACGCATTCTTAAGGCCAAATGGAGTCCTTATAAACTCATTTAAACCATGTGGGTTTACGAAGGCAGTTTTTTCTCTGACCAAAAAAAGAGGCCGAGATGAGTGAGTATTACTACACAGGTTTTGTTAATATAATCTCTTAAGATTTCATTCATCAGCTGTTGGGAATGTGGCTTGCGCATTCTTAAGGCCAAATGGAATCCTTATAAACTCATTTAAACCATGTGGGTTTACGAAGGCAGTTTTTTCTCTGTCTTCTTTTTTTTACTAGAATTTGATGATAACCTTTTGCTAAATCTAATGTTGTAAAATACTGAGCTCTACCTAACTTATCTAGAATTGAGTCTATATTAGGTAAAGGATATTTGACGTCTATAGTTATGTCATTTAACTTCCTATAGTCTATCACTATCCGATATTTTTTTCACCTGAGCAATCCGTTTTCTTCGGCATGACTATAAGTGGGCTTGCTTATCTTGAATGGCTTTTTGTAGTTATACCTTGCTCTTCCATTTCTATGATCTGTTTCCTTACCTCTGGTTCGTATTGAGGTGGATATCTATACAGCTTTGAATAAATTTGCTGTTGGGTAATCCTTTTTATTTCGAGTTGAATGTAATAAATCGCCTTCTCCAATCTTATATCGGTTTAAGAATTTTATAATTTCTTTACACTCTTCATTGTTTAAATGATTTTATTGAAGCTTTTCGAATTTAGGGTTACGAGTTTCCAGTGTATAAATTTGATTAAACTTGTATAAGTTATTAAGAAAATAGGAAACCTTTCCAATTAGTGTTATTTGTTCTTTTTCTATATTTATTTGTGCATTTAAAAAGTTTGATATTATACATCGATGACTATAATAAAATCATAAGTTTTTCCTCTTAAGGGAGTGATCTTCCAAGGAATCCTGGCATTGTTAGGTAAATTAAATTGACTAGGGCTTTTTGTGTGTCTTTCATAATTTATTGTGTCTTTATTTATCAATGTACTAAATGTTATGGGATATTTCAATTTATATATTTTAAAGTCATTAATTTCCTTGTTAATTAAACTAAGACTGGCACCCGTATCTATTAGTGCTATGTATTCTTTATTTTTTTTTTTTTAATTTTTTCTTTGGCCGACATACTGTGGCTGCCTGGTAAAAAAAAAACGGTATTATTAATTTCAGGTTCTTCTGGGCTTTGCCTGCCCAAGTTTAAGCGATTTTGGTCAAACTTGCGATTAGGGTGTCCTGCCACCTGAGGATTACTGTAATTTATTTCTACATTGTCAATTTCCATACGTTCCAACGAACTTGATTGAAGCTTGATCTTGAGTTCCCTAATTATTGAAACTGTCCTGAAAATTTGCTATCTCTTACATTATTTTGAAATCAGAATCTTCCAGAATCATTATTTTAATTATTAATATTGTAATTATTATTTTTATTCCACATAAAATCGTTTTGTTCTTCATGTCTATAAAAATTTGTATTTCATTTGTTTCTATCACGATACTGACGCATTTTAATTGCCTCCCTACCATAATATATCCGGTCAATATTT